CCTTTGGAGGGAGTTGAAAGTCCGTGTTGCCCAGCGACAGCCCCAAAACATCACTGCTCTAGAGGAATGGGCCTGTGCATGGAGGAATGGGCCAAAATACCAGCAACAGTGTGAAGCAACACCTTGTGTTGCAACAGCAACACCTTGTGAAGACTTACAGAAAACGTTTGACCTCTGTCATTGCCAACAAAGGATATATAACAAAGTATTGAGATGAACTTTTGATATTGACCAAATACTTATTTTCCACCATGATTTGCAAATAAATTCTTTGTTGGCAATGACAGAGGTCAAACGTTTTCTGTAAGTCTTCACAAGGTGTTGCTGTTGCAACACAAGGTGTTGCTTCACACTCCCCATTTTGTCTCTCATAGTTGAGGTATACCTATGATGAAAATTACAGGCCTCTCTCATCTTTTTAAGTGGGAGAACTTGCACAATTGGTGGCTGACTAAATACTTTTTTGCCCCACTGTACATACTGGTGGAGCACTAACTTTTGCATCTGCAAGAATTACTTTTAAAGGTCTCTTATTAAGTACATCTCAAGTTGCTAAATTCATGGCTCAATGCAGCATTATTGCATATACATAGGAATTCTTTGTCAGCAATTTGTTCTGAATTAATTCAAAAAATTTAAAGAGCAAATTAATACAACTCAGGAACGTAAATAAAATATGCACGATGGCTTTGCCACTTAGAACTGGTTATGGCTGAAAGTCTCTTATGCACTTTTCATTTGAAGACAATTGGGAAGACATTCTTGCAATCTGAATAGCTGGATCACTGTCTCTTCTGCTTCCATCCTCAGAAAAGCATAGCATAATACTTAATCAGATTGAATCATCCCTTTGGAATTAGAAAGGAATTAGATTCAAGATAATGCATTTAAAAACATCAATACATTGACAAGTATATTTAGTGGTCAGCACAGTTTTTCCAAACCAAGGTCTTTAACATGTATGTATGTTCCTAACAGGACTGTGCAAAATATTTAAAATCTGAAGCATTTTGAATTTGAAACACTTCACTTCAAGTTCAAAAACTGCTTGATATAGGTTGTGCTAACCATTTCAAAAATATCCAGTCTGAAGCATGAATTTTGAGCTTGAGATAGGGCAAGTTTGAGTTCAGAACATTTCCAGAATGGCCAAAACAGATTCAGTAAGGATTGAAACCTTTTAAACTCAGAACAAAGTGTCTGTAACTCAAAATATTTCAGAATTAAAATATTTTGCACACCACTGGCTCTTAATAGAAATACACTATACAAAGGATATCCATTTGGCAGAATTTCATTTCCAAATCAGGATTCACACTTTGTCTTCAGAAAAAGTGCTAACGGATAGTTTTTCATCTTTGCATATGTATGTTTGGGTATGTATACAAACCATCTTGTCTCCATTTTTGCTGTATGTACATACATATACATATAAAATCAAATAACTTATTACTTTAACTATTCCAAAATATCGAAAAGCATTCTCCAGGATACATCTTAATGATCACCATTTGCTTTGTTAGATGGTAAATTTAGTAATAACCTTTCTAAGAAATACATTTAATCTTGTGGCATATTGAAAGATCACATTCTCATATTTATAAAGATGACGATTCAGCTCTGTTACTAGCTCTAAAGATAATTTTTTTTTTTTTTACCTTTACTCTCTTATTATTTGCAAGGTTGCTAGGTTCTATTGCTAGCTAATACTGATGGAGAAGGACAGAAATGACAATAACATAAGGATTCTACATTCCTTTGAAATGTCAGAAGCCTCAAGGTAAGAAGTTGCACTAGATGTTGCTTAAAATTTTGCAAAGTATACAGGATTGCAGATTTGTCAACGAATTATCTGGTAGAGGAGTGTCACACTAGGCTTTTACAAGGTAAGGGCAAGAGGAGGTAGGGCAAGTCATCAGGTGGCTTGTATGGTTTCTAATTCCTATCTAAGCAGCTCTCTCCTTACCACTAAGAACAACAACAAAACTGAAGGAGCAGAGTTTATAACTATGAGCACTGTGTAATTCTTTACAAAACTCTGTGAAAAGAGCTACTTTTCATTGAACAAATGTATGATATTGTATAAAGCAAGACTTAATGAATGTTCCCTTTTTAAATGTAGAAAACCACATTTTCAACTAACTTAAAAAAATAATAAAGTCTATATTTCTAGCATAGAATTTTGCTATCATTGTCAGAAAAAGTTTAAATCCTTTACCTTGCTTGCCAAGTTCAATAAGCTCACAAATTCCATTTGCTTAAGGCTCTAGGACACATGCTAAATAAATATCCTTTTGACATAAAAGCTTCCAGGATGTGCCAAGTTATACTTCCTTATAATCCAAACAATTCATGCTACAAATATAGAAAAGAAGGGAAATTCTTTGCCACCTTACAAATGGTCTTACAATAGATGGCTGGTGTGGGTCTTCCAGGCTGTGTGGCCGTGTTCTGGAAGTTTTGTTTCCTAACGTTTCGCCAGCATCTGTGACTGGCATCTTCAGAGAAC